CCCCCCGGCGCCTCACGTCCCCGCGGCGCCTCCTAGCCACGGTGCAGTGTACACCTGCGCCCTCCTCAATAGTGGGCTTCCCGACTTCTCCGTCGCGGTTCGCTCCTCTCGCTACTGGAGTTGAGGTGTCGCAGGACTCGACAGAGTGTACTCAGCCCTCTGTCGCAGTACCGTCTGCGCCTCCGCAGACCACCGTCTCCCCTCCTTCCCCGCCGCGACTACCGACGCGTCGAGCCATTCGCTCAGCCCGTTGCAGCGAGCAGCTTGCTACTCGCGAGGACATTGTGTCCTCTCTTCTGGATTTGAGCACGCTTCAGGCTCGTCAGGAGCGACTCACCCTCCATGTCGCTGCACTTCGTCGCCTTCTCACCATTCTCTCTGACCCTGATCGCACCCTCCCGATCATCCCAGTACGACTCGGGACCTCCACGAGGGTGTACTCAGCGCTGTGGGATTCCGGTTCTTAGGGCAACTTCATTCACCCACGTGTGGTGAAGGAAGCCCGCTTACCCACGACAGGGTCTCCGACTCCCATCTCCGTTACCCTAGGGAATGACAAGACCCATCGCTTCTTCGATCAGACGGTCATCAACCTCCCCTTCTTTCTCACTCTCGAGCCGACTGATCGTTCCCCGGCGTCTCGTCGCCACCACTCCTCTGCACATTTCGGTGTGATGGAGATGGGGTACGACTTCATTCTCGGCACTCCGTGGTCTCGTCGGTTCCGCAGCACCGAGTCCGATTGGGCGACCAACACTCTCGTTCTCAAAACGAAGTGTGGACAGACGTATCGCGTATCTTTCATAGGTACCACGGCGATACCACGCCCCGATCCTCCTCTCCCGGAGCCATCAGTGCCCACACCATCCCCCTCTATCACTGTCACCTCGCCTCGGCAGTTCGCTCACTTCATTCGACAGGACGACGTCACCTTCTTTATGGTGGACGTGACGGATCTCTTACATTATGATCCACCCTGTCCCGACTCCGAGCTCATCCCTCTGGAGCCAGATCCTCCCTCTATCTCCATGGCTCTCATCTCTACTTTTGTCCCTCCTCCGTCCGTCGAGTCCACCCCGTCGTCGGGCGCTGACGCTGACGCTGAGGAACTCGCACGATATACGGCTGACCTCGAGCCCGCAGTTCGTGACCTCATCCGAGAGTACCACGACGTTTTCCCATCATCGTTCTCGTACGTCGGCATCCCACCGATGCGTGACGTCGAGCATTCCATTCAGCTTGTGCCTGACTATCGTGTTCACCACCAGGCACCCTACCGACTCTCGATTCCCAAGGCCACCAAACTCAAGCGTCAGTTTGAGGAGCTCCTGAGACTGGGTTTCATTAAACCCAGCAACTCCCCGTGGGGTGCACCCGTCCTCTTTGCTCGCAAAGCGGATGGAACTCTTTGTCTCTACATCGGCTATCGCGGTCTCAACCGCTACACGGTTAAGAACAACTACCCCATGCCTCGTTCCGATGAGCTGTTCGACCGCCTAGCAGGCAACCGCTTCTTTACGAAGATTGATCTTCGTAGCGGTTACCATCAGATCCGCGTCGCTGCAGCCGACCAGCCGAAGACAGCGTTCTGATCGCGCTTCGGCCACTACGAGTTTACGGTGATGTCATTCGGCCTCACCAATGCAACCGCTACCTTCCAGAGGGCGATGAACGACATCTTCAGGGACATCCTGGAGCAGTACGTTCTCGTCTACCTCGACGATATCCTGGTCTACAGTCGTACCCTCGAGGAGCACCTCAGACACCTCCACGATGTCCTTGACCGCTTGCGTAGACATGGCTTTTACGCCAAGCTAAGCAAGTGCCGCTTTGCCCAGCACAAAGTGAATTTCTTAGGACACTACATGTCTGACCAGGGTCTCCACATGGACGACGCGATTGACTGCTATTGCGGAGTGGCCCACCCCCACATCCGCCAAGCAGCTTCGCAGCTTCCTAGGCCTGACCAGCTACTATAGTAACTTCATCCGGGGATACGCTAGGTATTCCTACGTCCTTACCTCCACCCTCCTCCGGAATAACCCACCCAGGGCTTGGACACCCCTCCACGAGGACGCCTTCCGCGCCCTCAAGAAGGCGGTGACATGCGCACCGGTTTTTCACCTACCCAATTTTGACCGCCCTTTTATCCTTACCACCGATGCGTCAGACTTCGCTGTAGGAGCAGTGCTTTCTCAGGTCTTCCCCTCCTCTCCTGATTCCTCTCATCCTCGTATCCCTCGCTTCCCACCACCTACCCCTACCACTGCTTCTCGACTGATGCCTACTCGTCCAGCTATTGACGAGCCTTATATTGACTATTCTCCTACCATCGCCGAGGACGGCACTGTTGAGTCTCGCTCCGGTGATTATACGGTAGCCTTCTACTCCCGTCAGCTCCTGCCCGCCGAGATAAACTACACGGATGATGAACGTGAGGTTCTCGCAGTAGTTTATGTCGTTCGACACTGGCGTCACTACCTGCACGGGGCACCGTTCACGGTGTGTACAGACAACTCTGTTGTCCAGGCTTTTCTGACAAAATCGAAGCTCACTCCTCGACAGGCTCGCTGGTGGAGCGACCTATCCGAGTTTAGTTTCACCACTGAGCACATCAAGGGTGAAACTAATCGGGTCGCAGATGCCTTATCCCGGCGCCCTGACCACGACCAGGAGCACATCCAACTCTCTTCCATCTCGGTCACCACCGTCCACCACTCGGTGATCGACGAGTTTCGCACTCAGTACCGCCACTGCCCTGACTATCGCGACATCCACGCGACCCTTCGGAGTGGCAAGACCGCCCCGAACTACTCTCTCGGGGACAACAGTCTTGTGTACTCGCACGGTTCACAGGGCACCAGAGAGCCCCGTATTTGCGTTCCCTCCACTAGACAGCTACGTGTCCGAGCAGTAGCAGAGTTTTATGACCAGGCAGTTGTCGATCATATGGGCTTCCACAAGACGTTGGCTTGTGTGAGCCGCCTGTACGTCTGGCCGAAGCGCAAGGACTCTGTGAAGGACTACGTCGCAGAGTGTCCGACCTGTCAGGAGGTGAACAGTGCGAACCACTTGCCTTATGGTTTGCTTCAGCCTCTTCCTATCCCTGAGGGTCGTTGGCAGTCCATCTCAATGGACTTTATCGGTCCTCTTCGTCCTCCGACCCCTCGCGGTCACGATGCTATCCTGGTCGTCGTCGACCGCTTCACGAAGCGTGCACGCTTTGTTTCGTGCCGCTATGCCATCAGTGCACGTGAGGTCGCCGACATCGTGTTCGACCGAGTCGTGCGTGACCACGGCTTACCTCTGAGCATCATATCTGACCGTGACTCGCGCTTTACCAGCCGATTCTGAAGACGACTCCACGAGGTATACGGCACTCAACTCTGCTTCTCCTCGTCTTACCATCCTCTGACTGATGGTCAGACCGAGATCACGAACAGGACTCTCGGAGATATCCTTCGAAAGATTGTTCGTGACGACCAGCAGTGGGATCTTCATCTTGCCCACGCGGAGATAGCCTACAACCACGCCGTCTCGCCAACCACGAGGATGTTGCCTTACTATTGCGACCTCGGCTATCACCCTCGTGTTCCCGCGGACTTCCTTCGACCGTCCCAGATGCACCCTGACACGAGTTGTCCCGCGCTGGATGATTGGGTTGCACACATGACGTCGATTATGAAGACCGCACATGAGCACATAGCCGCTTCCCAGACTCGCATGGCGGCACGTGCGAACCGATCGAGGATGGATCGCCCATTCAAGGTCCGTGATGATGTGCTTATCGACGCCCGCCACTTACAGTTCGAAGCGGACACGCTTCGCAAGTTTCGGCGTCGCTTCTTTGGCCCATGCCGCATCCTCCAGGCCATCGGTTCTGATACGGCATCTAGCCCGGTCAGCTTTCGTGTGAAGCTGCCCGACTACCTACACCAGCCTCGTGTGCATGATGTCTACCACGTCTCGTTAATGCATCTTTACCGCAGACCGTCTGAGCGTTTCGCTGAACGATCATACGAGTGTCCTCCACCCCTCATGGTGGACGGCCACGAGGAGTTCCTCGTTTCAGACATCATTGGCCGCCGAGTCACCGACAACAACCCTCTCCACGTCAAGTATCTCGTACATTGGAAGGGTGACCCTGATGAGGAGGCTTTCTGGGAGCCCCTCGAGCACTTGCAGCACGCTCGCATGTTGGTGCGTGCCTATGACCGTGCTCGTCGTGTTGGGTTCAGTGCTCCTCCTCAACCCACTGACCACCCTCCTTCTCCTCCGGCTGAGGAGACCGCTGAAGTCGAGCCTGCTCCATCTGAGGCAGACCTTCACAAGCAGTCGGATGCCTCTGAGCGTCCACAGCGCACTCGTCGTCGTCCTGCTCGATACGACGATTGACTCTAACTTACCTTCCCACGTCTTTGACTTCTCAGTACTCCATCCACATCAATTTTACTACTTCAGCTTGTCGACGCTGCAACTCTTCCTCGACGACATTCCGGACTTCTCATCGTGGACATCATCGGCAGCTCCATGGACTTCATCACGATCAGCTCTGCCTACTTCAGACGTCGCCACTCTCTTACCCCTCTACCCTGTACAGTACCCTGCTTGTGTCGCATGATGGTCTCCCTTTAGCCGGGTTCCTCTGCGTTGAGCTCTCCCTTGGTATACGCATAGGCATCGGGACCGTAGCGTTGCCTTGGCTTCCCATCTCACGAATCTAGCTCCGACTTCCCTCACTTTAGGAGTCATTTGCATGATTCCCTTACCCATCATCTTTCTACCCTTCGCCGGCCCTCACACCCTAGTTAAGCAGCCCCGCATGCTTCATCCAGGTGCGCCCAGTATACCCGGCTCCCTTATTCCCATGGTCGACCCTCCATAGCGGTCACCCCTTAGTCGAGCATTACCCGCCCTGATGGTCTATCTGTTAGGTTCATTGGTTTTGTTCGCTCTCAGTTCCCTACCCTCATTGAGCCTGATGACATGTGTCTCCCTGTTATCTATGTGTGGATGCCCTTAGGAGTTTCGACCCCTAGGCTGCATTCGCCACCCTCAGAGACCATCCCACCCTTTGGTTTGCGACACACTTCTCATGTGACATATGGTTGTCTTGTTGATTGCTTTGATGCTCTCAGACTGAGGCTACTGCCTCCGAGATTTCTAGGATTTAGATGTTCTGCTTTTGCTGTTCTTAGGACTTATACACTAGTCAGTTGTTACCAGACTGAGGTTAGTGTCTCCAACATTCTAGAATCTAGTTGTCACTACTTTCTGCTTTCCTAGGACATGTATGCTAGTTAGTTGCTTTTGCTTTCCTAGGACATGTATGTTAGTTAGTTGCTTCTACTTTCACTTAGGCTGTTAGCTGTGACATTGCTGTTTTGTGACATTTTATATCCTAGGTTGCATCGCATGGACTCAGCATGGAGCTTGCTCCGCATCCTAGACTACTCAGGTTTTCTTTTCTTTGTTAGAGTTCCGCTTCTTGGCGGAAGCATGTTTGTATCTAGGTGATCCATCACAGGCCGAGGATCGTGTAGCGGACCTCGGGTTGGCCTGTGAGACCAGCCCCTTGGCCTGTTCTCACAGGCCTGTGTTGTATTCGGGGTAGGCCAGTCCAGGCCGGTACCTCTGTCAGTACCAGCCAGTCCTGTCCAGTCTCGTCAGTCCACTGGGGTATACCCCAGCCATTGTCTGTTTTCAGCCTTATTCTTCACTTGCACATTTTTTAGTACGTGCGTTGGAGTCTTGCGTGGGGAGCTGCGTTGTGCCATCTCGCTCCCCCCCTTCTTCCTCCATCTCCATCTTTGTCACTAGCGGAGCACCACACCTGGTGGGTCCGCTACAGCTTCAAAACAATCATCCTAGCACGTGCGACCGCACCCACCGCCAGCACACACAACCAGGCATGCTAGACAAGCTTCATGAGACCACCGTGGGCCACCGGGGCGGACTAGGTATGGTGGCCATAGCTCGGGCGAGCCCTAGCACCGGCGCCAGCAACTTCGGGCAGCAGCGCTAGGTCGCTTACCGCCGCACCGCCGCGCCCCCGACTCCAGTGTTACTTACGTGCAGCATTACGTGATTTGGCTTCCACTGCGTTTTTTTTCTGTTTTTTTTTCTTTTTTCCACCTGCGTTTTTCCCTTGTTCTTCTTTTCTTTTCGGAAAGACCGTTTGGGCCTCGCTCCACTACTCTCTACATGCACAAAAGACATAAAACATGGCAGTGTATCTTTCCATGTTCTAGTGGAAGATTCGCTCTCGTTTTGCACATCATGCATACACGTTGGAACATTCCCACTGTGGGCCTCTCTCCACTGCCCTCCACATGCACAAAAGATGGAAAATACGGCATCGCATCTATCCATGTTCTAGCCCAAGATTCGTTCTCATTTTGCACGTTTTGGTGAGTACTGGAGGGATGCCCTATGTGGCGAAATTGCAAAAATTGCAAATTGCAAGGAGGATCCGGATGCACGGACCACGTGCTTGCGGTATGTCAGTAGGCAGAGTCAGTTTGCAATGATGTTCCGGCCGATACGAGAGAACACCCAATAGGCCTACAGTGTAGTGCACCTAAGGGCATACTCACACTAGCACGTACAATCGCAAATTATATGTGAGCCAATTTGCGATTATACGGCACTTCCCAGTCACACAGCACACCCGTATCCGTCACAAAACAGAAAGGACACAGTCTCAACCTGCTCTAGGAATGCGATTATACGGGCCGAGGTGTCACACAGTGCGATGCATAAAAATCCATCCCTTTTTCCTGTTTTTTTTTTTTTTTTTTCTCCTTACGAGAGCTGCCCACCAAACGTCGAATTGTTTTTTTTTTTTGTTTCCAGAAAGAAACAGGTCTGAAGGAAATATGCAATTGCGGGGACCTCTGGAGGTTCCCGCAAAATACGCAACCCGGCGGCTGTCCAAGCCGCTGACATTTACGTGCCCATTTGAGTGGAAACGCAAAATACGGAGCCCTTGTGACCCAAAAAATCACCTACAATTTACATTTTTTTGCGGATTTTATGAAAATGCATGCTAATGTGAGTACACCCTAAGTGAGGCTAGGTAGTGGAGGGAGTTGCCCAGCCAGGAGGTACTAGAGGCCCGGCAGCCAAGTACCCCTGGGTGGAATGAGCAGTCCGCTCGTTCACCCGACGCTACCGTAGTGCTGCTGCTGCACAGGACAGATCGAGATAAAATAAGGAAAGTAGATACCGTCAATAGTGCCAAAAACTCGTAGGACTGTCTCTTATACACATCTAGATGTGTATAAGAGACAGCCCTAAGTGAGGCTAGGTAGTGGAGGGAGTTGCCCAGCCAGGAGGTACTAGAGGCCCGGCAGCCAAGTACCCCTGGGTGGAATGAGCAGTCCGCTCGTTCACCCGACGCTACCGTAGTGCTGCTGCTGCACAGGACAGATCGAGATAAAATAAGGAAAGTAGATACCGTCAATAGTGCCAAAAACTCGTAGGAGGAGCCGGAGAGATGGGCCGCAGGCCCGCACACCTCCTAGACCATCCGGGAATCTCGACGGGCGGGCGGGACTGCTTCGCCAAAACTTAGGCGAGAAGAATCACTCCTCCTTGTGAGTGGTGCTGACTAACTGTGCCGTGGGTGCAGGTTTGCATATGCCATGACCGCTGCGACCGGCCGGACTCCAGACTCCTCCTTGTGAGTGGTGCTGACTGCCTGTGCCGGGGGTTCAGGTTTGCATATGCCATGACCGCTGCGACCGGCCGGACTCCAGAAGGCGCAGCACGGGAGGGATCGCAACTTGCTGTGGCTGGGCAAACACTAGTCACATATACTGTTGCAGGGCCGAGTGTGGGACCAGCGAGGGCCGGCGATGCAGTTCTCCAACCTGGGTGAGTGTCCTGTCCCACGAATACCTGACGTAGATCTTGTGTGGAGATTGTCTGCCAAAGATAGTCGCAGTACTGTAGAAAGGTACCCTAGTTGAAAATAGTCTTGCTGCTAATGTAGAGAATGGGTGGCTGCGAAGAAGTCCCATGAGTCCCAGTTTCAACAGAAAAGTCCCAAAGAAAGGCAACCGCTGATAACTGTCGGAAAAGACCCTGGCCGACCATGATGTGACCAACCAAATAAACTGAAGTACAACAGTTGCTCCGGGGCAAGGTCCCACTTGCGAAAATTAGGAGATTTCGGCCGTTGATCTTTACTATCTACGGTCAGTATCTCTTAATTCGTGCAAGTGGGACCTAGCCCCCGCCAAGCGGTAGAAGTGGCAGAGCTCCTGGGCCGAGGTCCCACTAGCAAAAGGATAGGATCGAGCTCCTGAATCTGGATGTGTTTTAAGCACAGATGCAGAGAAGCAGTTCAATCTCGATTTCCCGCACATCTCCATAAACTCGTCCGGATTCAGGCATTCGATCCGATCCTCTTTGCTAGTGGGACCACGCCCCTGGAGGTCGAAGGTGGACTTGGAGGATGACGGAGAAGACCTCCTGGGCTATGGAGGTGCAGGAGTATTCCTATGCTATGGAGGTGAGGTTGAAGAACGAGGACGGAGGTGGGGACCGGGAAGGAGGCTCGCCTTTGGCTATGGTGGATGTGCATCTTCATCTCCTAAGGTTGGCACTGCATCAAGGAGGCCCCTGATGGGGTACCTGCTGAATTTGGACTTCATCCTGAGGAGTAGGCTTGGCGGTAGATGATGAAGAGGGGGAATGAGAGCATCTTTGTTGTCCTGTAAAGTATCCAAGGGTTCCCCTTGGATGTTCCGCCAAAGCCAGCTGCCACACCGAGCTACCGTCTTCCCCCGAACATAACGCACCCTAAAAATGAATGTATACAAGCTATATTTCCGGCCAGATACAGCCAAAATAAGGGTGCGTTGTGTTGCGGAAGACGGTAATAGGAACATGCCGTAGGCTAAAGCAGGGCAATTATGCAAGGCTGGCAGTAAAGAGGGAGCAATCGGACATGATTCTGGCTCATTCCTTCATTGTTATTGTTTAGCATTACTACTGTAATACAAGCGGACTTGCCGCGGCGAGGCCTGCGTCGCGTACATGGCGGGAAGTTGATGACAGAGGGCAGGGCGGAAGGAAGAGTGCCAGGCAGATCACTACCTATCAAATCTCCTGATAAAAATTCATGATGATCCGAGCGTCCGTACAGTCCCACGGTCAACAAATGGGAAAGTCAAGCGAGCGGTGATGAGAGATAAAGAACGGGCAGAGGGAGGGAGGGCGGAAGGGAGGGAGGGAGGAGGGAGGGAGAGAGAGAGGGAGAGGGAGGGAGAATCGATAGGGAGAGAGACAGAGAGAGACAGAGAGAGACAGAGAGAGACAGAGAGAGACAGAGAGAGACAGAGAGAGAGAGAGAGAGAGAGAGAAATGAACTAGGAAAACAACCTACCTACCTACCTAACGGAGAGGAGATGGGATGCAGCTAGCTGGTTCTTTTCTTGGAGAGAGAGAGAGAGAGAGAGAG